AACAATTTGATTGTAGTAATTAAAGTGTTCAATGTATAAAGATATGAAACATATTATTTTATTTTTACAGTAATTTGTAACATTCACGGTAAACTTCTTACTTTTTTGCCTGCAATATAAACAGAGGGAAAGTAAAACGACTGATCAAAAAATAACTAAATATTTTCTTTTATTTTTAGATCTAAGGAATCTTGAAACATTGAAGGATGTAAAGAATTGCTGTTTTTTTTGTACATCTGTGTGTTAGTGTGTATACGTAGGAGGATTTTGTTCTCTTATCTCGAAGCCTTTTGTTGAAAATTTCTCAATTTTCGTGGGAAGCTTTCTGCATTAGGAAATTGATGCTATCAAATATCAGTGGTTATCTCGATGGGTGTAGAGGAAAAGTTTATGTCTCCTTCAAAGAGTTTCAACGTTCAACGTCAAGTATTTGTTTAGTTTGACGAACTAAAAATAGGATTTTTCCTTATTAACACTTATTAACTATAATTAATAGTCTGTGGTTTGTAATATCGAAACTTGCTTTAAAGTATTTTAGATTTATTTTAACTATTTTACATGAAAAATTAAATTTATTTTAAGAAATAAGAGAAATGGACGAAAATATTTAACAAAATAAGAACAATAAGAATATGTAAACAACGTCAATTATAAGATCAACCATGTTCAATTGTGATTGAATCTAACGTTAAAGTAAACTTCAACGTTGACCTTTTTCGGTGTACGTTGTTTCGCGACACACCTGGAAACAGATAACAAACCGATCAAAAAGCAAAGACGGAGATAAAAACCCAATGTTGACTGACGATGAAAAGTCCATATCGAAAAAACCTTGCATCCGACGGATACGAGGTTTATTCTTTCGCAAATCTAACATTCTGCTAACAAGTTCTTTTTAATAAGACAAGATTTTACATCGAAAAAAATCTCTTGTACCTCTATGACATTTTTATTCCGTTTCTTTTCTTAACCCTTTAAGTTTCTTGTTTCGGGAAAAAGGTCGCTTAAAAAATTGCCTTGCTATTAAATAATAAAGAAAAAAAGTGTATTTTAATTTAAAAAAAAGTTTTAAACAGTTTTTGTGTTCGCGCCTTGGATGGTTCCTAAATGGAGTCTTTNGTAATTCTTATAAATATATCAATAAATTATCAGATATTGTGAAAAGTTATAATAATAGTTTTCATAGAAGTATGGGTATGCCCCATCGGAATGAACTCCCCTACATTACAGAGCTATTTTCGAAAAGTTGTACGGTATAAAAAGACAGAATATACGTTTAAATTTTATATTGGCAACCTCGTTCGAATTTCGAAAATACGTAAAACATTTAGTCGAGGACACCTACCTGGTTGGTCAGAAGAAATATTTATTATTAACGATCGTTTTTCGTCTTATCCTCTGACGTATATATTGAAAGATTTAAATAATGAGATTTTGAAAGAAAGATTTTATACAGAAGAATTACAGAAGGTAACAAAATGATGCAGTCAGACTTTTTCGTCACTCTGATCAGCAACGCCAGCATGGCGTTATTTCCCGAAAATAAGCAGTCTCATTTCACTGTGAAAATGAGTCCACCTATTGATTTACGAGGGAAATGGGTAGTTGGTCTGAGTGAGGTTATTATTCCTAGAAATTGGTTTAACATATTAAATCACAATAACGATTATACTATTACTAGATAAAATTAGAAGAGAAAAAATAAGCGATGAAACATATGTGATTCCATTAACTACAGGCGATGAAAATGAAGGAGAGATGCTTTTCAATTGGATAAACAAGAATATAGTTTTGTTAACAGGATCTAACTCGGTAGAATTTGTTTTAGACAAGGATTATAAAGGTATAAAAATAAATTTGAAAGAGAGATTTGAGTTACATATTTTGTATGGAAGTGCTCATAAACTACTTTATTTTTTAAATTTAGGGGCAAAAATATTACTTTTAAACAACAGAGTTCGAGTTTAATATTGCGAGGAGCGAATAAGGAATATCTATCAAATCCTAGATTTTATAAAGATCAGTTTATAACTTTAGTAGAAAGAAATAAAAAAGTTGTTAAGGAAATCAATGTAGAAGAAAAAATTTTTATTTCTATCGGGTTATATTCTTCTACCAAAAAATTTCTCGGAATTTTTAAATATATTAAATTAGCATTAGTACCTAATAACAAAATCATTTTAAAAGTTCATAAAAATATGATGATTGAATTTGGAAACGAATTAAAAGATTTGTTAGGATTTAATACAAGCAAATTTTCTGAAAGTGAATATGTGAGTGACTACCCCATCGAATTATCTGCGGTAATTTCAGAAATTTTTATTTATTCGAATATCATTGCTTCTCATCATATTGGGGATATAACCGTTCAACTTTTAAGGGTTATACCTGTAATGGGGGAAAAGTCAGATCAAATAGTTACAGTCACCAATCACCTCTATACCTTTCTTTACGGCGTAATTATATAGATACAATCGAAATCGAGCTGAGAACTGCTAGCGGAAAAGAAATCGTCTTTTTTTGGAGGAAAGACATTATTAGTTTTATTCTTTAAACAGATATAAATATTGGTATATGTTATTTATTAACGTTAGTTCGTCTTCGTGAAGTAGAAAATGAAGCTTGATCTGCGAGATTGTATAGATTATAACTGTAATCAAGCAGGAGGAATGATACTGAAACACGATTTTCCATTTACATGACAATTCGGAAGAGAGACTTATTTTGCCGGACCACAAATACAGAGAGGATACGGACTTTTAGGGGATTTATTTCGTAAATCTATTCCTATTCTTAGTAAAGTAGGAAAGTATCCAGGGGGTAAAACTTTAAAATTTGCATCGAATGTCGGATCAGATGCAATTGGATGGAAGTCGTTTAAAGAATCTACAAAAAATCATTTTAAGGATGTTGGATCTGAAATTAAAACAAGCTGTAAATAAAGCTGGATTATTTAAATTACTTGAGAATAAGAAATACTATTGTAAATTTTTTGTATTTACTAACCCGATAACTATAGTGTTATGTAATAAAAATTTTATAAAATGTGGTTGTTCTAACTGTAATTGTACTTTTTAAAAATGTTGTAACCAATGCAATGTTTATTTATGTATATAAAAAATAAAAGCTATGTCTTAATACTGAGGTTTTTTTTTTATAGAATTCAGACACATTACACTGCTTGAATGGGAAAAATTCTCGAGTTTACCGATGGATGTAAATAATATCAGACATTTCAAAAACTATATTAAATGAGAGATTATAAGCCAAAAAATCGATTTAAGCCAAGACTTCATTTTTTTGAATTCGCAGATAATTTAAACTGGGAATTAATATGGAAAAATTATATATTTACTACTACATTTATCAAAAAACATATTAAACATGCAAAATGGAATGTAATTTCAGAACACCAAATATTAAACGAAGAATTCACGGATAATTTTTCGAAAATATCTTAATTGGAATAAAATAGCAAAACTTCAACTTCTCTCTGATAATTTTTTAAGAAATATATTGATAAATTAAATATGAGAATAGTTTTAAAATATCTGCAATTAAAAACCGATAATCTGCAGATTTAAAAGATTATCTCCACTGGGATTTAGTTTCTTGTTATCAAATACTGAAAGGAAGATTTTATTCACGATTTCAAATACCATGTTTTCTGGTGTTATATTATTAAATATCAGAAACTAGATCATAAATATATCGCTGAAAATTCTCACAGTTTGCTAGTCTATATACTTCAAGATATTACTAACATCGTTGATGATATAATGGAAAAATTAAATAAATTCGATGAAGAAGAAGAAAATTAAAATCTGTAACATATCGATTTTTAAAAAAATAAAAAATAGCTAAAAAAGTCAATTGTTTTTAAATCTAGTAAATAATTGTATTATCTACAAATCAGAAATATATCGCGATATTTCTAACATCGTTGATAAAGAAAAAAACTTATGTTTTGTTTTTAAAAAAAGGTCTGTATCTGATCAAGGTGTTGGTAAAAAGAAGAAAGTCTATGAACAAAAAATTATTGGATAGATGAAANTAATTGTATTATCTACAAATCAGAAATATATCGCGATATTTCTAACATCGTTGATAAAGAAAAAAACTTATGTTTTGTTTTTAAAAAAAGGTCTGTATCTGATCAAGGTGTTGGTAAAAAGAAGAAAGTCTATGAACAAAAAATTATTGGATAGATGAAAGAATGCAGTTCACACAGCTTACTTTGGGGACTGCTTTGAGTAGATTAAAAAATATGGTCCCACAGCTTACTTCAGGGGACCGCTTTGGGTGTAGTAGAAAAAGATTTTTGTATGAGATAAAATTTCTCTGCGATAATTCTGTTAAAAAATATATTAACAAAAATGTTCACAGTTTGCTTGTCTATATTCGCAATATTAGTAACATCGTTGATGATATGAAAAAAATTAAATAAAATTCGATGAAGAAGAAAATTACATTAATTTTAAAATAAAAATAGTTAAATCTTCTTAAAAGAGTCAATCATATTTTCCTTAAAAACTAAAAACCAATCATATTTTCTTTAAAAACTAACAACCAATCGTTTTTTTAAAACTCCAATCGTATATTATCTACAGATAAAAAAAAACTCATTGTTGATGGACGCATGCACATACTTATCCTGTTACAATGACCATAATGCAAGGTTGACATGACTTAGTTCACGGTACAAACTGTACAGCAGAGGGCGCAATTTTCAAAAAATTTTGAAGTTGTGTTATCGTTTTAATTCGATATGTATTACAGTAAAACATCGATTATCCGAATCAATTGGGAACTGGGGTTGTTCGGAAAAATCGATATTTCAGATAACCATAATAAAAAAATATATTAATTTATCCTATGTTGAAATTTTTCTCCGTTGCGAGTCGCTTCGCGTTGATTTTTCGTGGATGTTAAGATTAACGAAGACTATTGATCATTAACCCTTTAAGTTTCTTGTTTCGGGAAAAAGGTCGCTTAAAAAATTGCCTTGCTATTAAATAATAAAGAAAAAAAGTGTATTTTAATTTAAAAAAAAGTTTTAAACAGTTTTTGTGTTCGCGCCTTGGATGGTTCCTAAATGGAGTCTTTCCATCACGACAGCCCACTTTACAGGGGCATCCCATCCCTGCGATGGCAGCTTTTCTGTATAGGTTCGTTGTTTGCTGGGAAGCTGCCATCCGTGAGTAGAGTAGATAAATAATAATTTAAAAAATAAACATGACAAAACATTTAATAAAAATAAATTTAATGAGATAAAAGATATTTAAAAATAATATATAAAAGACACAATGATAAAAATACAAAAATTGAATCATAAAAATACAATATAAGATAAAAAAAAGACAATATACTACGAAAAAAATAAAATGTATATAAAATTTGAAATTTTGCCTTTTACATAAAAGTTAAAAATATAATTTCGTGTGGTAAATTTCAAAACACGGTGCAGGACATAGTGCAACCTCACATTTTGGGCACCAATACCGTGTTTCTTTACGTATTTTCTTTCCGCTGTCATCGCGTCTGTTGCAACAGACAGCACAGCATCTCGTTGGGTTTGCTTTTTTTTCTGTTGGGGGAATAAACGCCGGGAAATGCCTTTCAACTAGCCTAAGAGGGCCTGGAGTCCTCGTTCGACTATGTTGGCCGATCATCGTTTCAGTGCGATAAGTCATTACCAGGCGATCTACTAAATTCATACGGAAAGATAAATTATTTCTTTCCCCACCATTTTTTTTATATAAAACGTGCGCGTTATATATTGAGAGGTCTAACAGTTGAAAAAATATTTTTTTGTAGTACTTTTTGCCCCTTTTCCTTGCCAGATGATAATTATGGATATGTTGATCTAAAAGATCAACACCTCCCATTTTCTGATTGTAATGGAGGACACATTCCGGTTTCATTACTTGTGTTCCGCTCCGAGTTTGTGTACTAATTAATTTTGGACTGTGGAATGTAGAGAGCATTGTAACAGTTTTCTTATCCTGCCACTTTTGGATTAATACTTTTCCTCTCTGCATTGCCACAGTCTCCCCTTTTTTCAATTTTTTTCTTTGAATTTCGTTTGGAACGTCTCTTCTTGTTAAGCGGAGCGTTCCACAATAATCGGTTTGGAAACTCAGTAGATAATCTGCTAACTGTGGCGATGTATAGAAGTTATCTGTTGTTAGGCAGTATCCTTTGCCTAACAACGGTTCTACTAAAGTAAGCACGATTTGGGTAGTTAACGGCATATTTTTGTATTTTTCGTTCAGTACAGTTCCTTTACCTGTATAAATTGTAAAATTCCACAAGTACCCCGAGGAAGATTCACACAAGTTATAAAATTTTATACCAAAACGTGCCCGTTTGCTACGAATGTACTGTTTCCATGAAAGACGGCCTTTGAACAAGAGCAGGCTCTCGTCAACAGTTATGTCTTCTTCTGGTGTGTACAGAGTGGAGAATTTAAAATTTAAATGTTCAATTAGTGGCCAAATTTTGTTTAGTTTTGGGTTAGGGTGAGTTTCTGGGTCGAATGTGTCTGTGTCAGCGAAATGTAAATACTTTTTTATGGTTAGAAATTTTTTTTTGGTCATTAGTTTACTAAATGAAGGAGTTAGAAACAGTTCATTCCTAGACCAGTACATTTTTTCATCCGGTTTGTACAGAATGCCTTCCATTATACATATTGCTAAAAATACAAACATTTCTTCTATAGATACTGGCTCCCATGTATCTGTTGATGCCCGTGCCTGTTGCATCGCGAAGCGGTTCGTTTCCGTTACTATTGTCGTGATAAGATTTAAATCAAAAAATAACAAAAAATACGCGAGAGGGTCGAAGTAATTATCTAAAGTGAAGTTGCATCCTGGAGTTCCCTGAAAGGGAAATCGCGGAGGAGCTGCAGGAGGGTTTTCTAAGCTGACATCACACCAAGTTCTGGAGGAGGTAGAGGAGGTGCTTCCACTGTCGTCATTATCCGACACCTCGCTTTCGCTGCCAAAGCTATCTGACATGCTTTCAGATAGCTGTGAATAATCAGAATCAGATTCCGATGACATTCTGCCAATAAAAAAATTCTCTAAAAGCCCGTTATATTTATCTAACGCGTAATAAAACAATTATTCGCTATTCTCCAAAAATAATATATTTCTTATAAACTTACTTGATATAATAGTACAATGTGTTTGTAAAATCAACGGACAATCAACGCTTTTCCAAGTATCTACTAAACGAAAAAAATTCTCTAAAAGCCCGTTATATTTATCTAACGCGCAATAAAACAATTATTCGCTATTCTCCAAAAATAATATATTTTTTATAAACTTACTTGAAAATTACTGGATAAATTTTATCTAGATAATATTTCTAAGAGCGCACTGGAAAACGTGTCTACTGAAGAGCAAGACAACGAGTGAGAATTTCTCCAAGTATTGGAAAGAAGAACAAAGAAATTCTAGGAACAAACATTTGACATTATTTATTGCAGTCATAAATTGTAACAATTGAGAACCCCGGTATTAGAAACATTTGTACTTGCAGTACAATACACATTTTCATTTTTATTACAAGTGCTTCATCTGGGAATTGATAATTACATGAAGGTGTTTGGAAGTTCTTTTTAAATGCTTTTATTCATAAATAATTTTACAGAAATATCAATAACACATCACTGTTTATGATTGTTGACTATAACATATAGGCTATATGCTTACAAAAAGTTTTAAAATTCAAGATTTGAAAAAATAAAAAAAATTTATGTGTAATCATTCGATCAATCTGTTATATGTTACGTAGACTGGTATATTTTTTCAAAATAACAAAAACTGAAGCTTTCTAAACCGACGTAGAGATAGAATATTGCCTATAGTTTACAACGCTACTGGTTTGGGGGGGTGGTTTAATTTTGTAAATCTAGGTCAACACACTTTTGTGCATGGATGGTGTATATTTGATATTGTTTATGTTATTTATATTATTATAATAACAAAGCACTATAATAAGCGATTATTACCTTATTATATGAACAATTATACATGCATTATTTTTTAAGTATTGATATTACGGAAGTACCATAATAATCCGGAAGTACTTTGTTTTTTAGAAAGACTTATGGCTGGATGATTCTGAAAAACGTTTATAAATGTAAAACAGTATGAATATACATATAAATTTACTAAACTCAGGTAAAAATAAGGATTTATGGTTGTTTATATATGTTTGTAGCTGACAAAGTGTCTCCTAGAAGGAATGGCTTTTTTCAGAAAATTCCAACCCTACAAACCTTAGTCGATGCTTATTCGTCGAAGGATAGTCAATTAGCTATAATTTATCAATTACTGCTCAACAGGCATGTGAACGAAGGTTTGTTTCATCCAATAAACAAAAGAAGAGTGTTCCATAGATATAAGAATGGAAGGAGTTATTTTGTACGAACTGTAATCAAGTCTGTATCGATCTAAGCTTTGATTTGCTTTCTTGTATGTGTTTTTTGACTGTATCAACCAATAAATGTTTTGTCACCACCTCCGGGCCATAAATATTTCGCGAAAAAATACCGTCCTCTCCCAGTGTAAAGTAATTAGAGGTGAGGAGGCAGATTATTGGCTGATAAAGTTGATAGTCAACTTTTTTACNTAATGTAAAAAATGAAATGAAGTTCGTAGCTATCTAAGCTTCGATTTGCTTTCTTGTATTTGTTTGAACCAATAAATGTTTTCTCACCATTCCAGGTCATAAATATTTCGGGAAAGTCAGTCCCTTACCATTGTAAAGTAATTAGCAGTAAGAAGAAAGATTATTGGCTGATAAAATCAATAGTAATCTTTTTAGAACTGTAATTGGTTTATTTCTGTATTTGTTGAGACATTATTTGACATAAAAAGCTTTACAATAAGCTCCCACAAAAAATCAAAATAATTTATAATACACCATTTTATAAAATAAATTTATAAAAAATTTTATTATAAATCTTCATTTATTTTATAATGTATTATTTAGAAACTTATTATTTTTCATGTAACACAATACTCGCAACGAGACACTCCATACAAGCTTCTGTACAGATACACAGCTGTACGACCTTGAAAACAGCTGATTGTAAACTTTCGCGGGTTGTTCCCAACAACAGCCTGAGGGGAAGTAGCTTTTCTACACACGTCTGAACTAGTTACTGCAAATACTCGATTGTATTACATTATTTTCTGATAATTTTTTTTTTATTTTCTTGTTATTACTTATATTATATGCTAATATTAGCCTCATTAACAAGCGACGTATAATCGGGAACGACGTAACTCGAAACGACGTAAGTCGAGGTATGCCTGTATACTTTTAAATGTGTAAGAAGTTTGTAAAGAAAAATCCCGAGAGAAAGAAAAACAAGAGAGCGGAGGGCAGTAGTTGTTTTCAAGACGAAGAAGGATGCATGATCGGTGTAATTAATTGTTATAATTACTTTTGTTTCAGTTGTTTTTTACCATTGCATTTAACTTATTCGAAATAATAGTACGCATGAAATCATTTTGTACGGGGTCGTACAAAATGATGTCATGTTTAAAATATAATTGACAATTTTCATAACCACGAAATATTTCTATATAAATATTAATTTTTTAAAATGAAACATGTATCTCTCTTGCATAATATGCTACCGTCATTTTAAGACAAAATATGATAATAGAAATTATAGAATTTATTATATGAGACTGTAAATTGATTTCTGTTTCATTCTTGTAAATTGAAACTGTTTCATTGTGTTAATTTACATTACTACAAGGAAATATAATAGCGAAACTAACTGCATTTAGCCGCAATTTGATTGTAGTAATTAAACTGTTCAATGAATAAACATATTATTTTACTTTCACAGTGTTTTGGAACTTTTTCGGTAAACATAGACTAAGTTTTTCCTTTTTGCCTGCAATACAAACAGAAAGTAAGTATAACGACTGATCAAAAAATAACTGAATATTACTTTTTTTAGATCTAAGGAACCTTGAAACATTGAAGGATATAAAGAATTGCTGTTTTCTTTCTTCTCTATATCTGTGTGTTAGTGGGTATACGTGGCAAAATTTTGCTCTCCCATCTCGAAGTCTTTTGTTGAAAATTTCTGAAATTTTGTGGGAAGCTTTCTACATTAGGGTATTGATGCTATCAAATATCAGTAGTTAACTGGATGGGTGTAGAGGGAAATCATATGTCATATATAGGATCAGACTTAATAAATGATTTACTTCTTATCAGCATTTACAGTTATTTTTGAAAACTTATATATATTATGAAAACTGAGCTTTTCCTTATTTTATAATAATACAGTAATATAAAATAAAATCTCATAACAGATAGTGCTGTTTTGACGGGAAAGTTATTCTGATAAACTGTAGATGGTAAACTTTTTAAATACATTTTGTTAAATTATTTATTAAATTGATTCGTGAGAGACTCTGGAAGAAAGCAACTCGCTTTTTCCAAAAGCGATAGTGAGTGTGGGATTTCTCACAATACGAGTGAGTATATCCACAGGTACTGTACACCCGACTTCTACCATGCATCAGAAGCGTACTTCAAATAATTTGACTAGACAGAGTTTTCGAAAAATAGGTTAGTGATCACCTCCAAACGCCCTCCTGTTTCCTTTTCCGAGCTCTTTACTCGTGTGTTCCCGATTCTACAGCTCTTTCTCTCTCGTTCTCCCACGGAGACGAGACATAAAAAAGCGTGATTAAGTTTATGTCGCCTTCAAAAAGTTTCAACGTTCAACGTCAATTATTTGTTTAGTTTGATGCACTAAAAATAGGTTTTTTACTGATTAACATTTATTAATTATGATTCATAATCTGTGGTTTGTAATAACGAAACTTGCTTTAGACTATTTTAGACTTATTTCAACTATTTTAAATTAAAAGTTCAAATTATTTTAAGAAATAAGAGAAATGAACGAAAATATTTAACAAAATAAGAACAATAATAATATGTAAACAACGTCGATTATAAGATCAATTATGTTCAATTGTGATTGAATCTAACGTTGAAGTAAACTTCAACGTTGACCTTTTTCGGTGCACGTTGTTTCACGACACACCTGGAAATAGATAACAAACCGATCAGAAATCGAAGGCGGAGATAGAAACCCAATGTAGACGATGAAAAGTCCATATCGATAAAACCTTGCAACCGACGGATACGAGGTTTATTCTTTCGCAAATCTAACATTCTGCTAACAAGTTTTTTTTAATAAGAAAAGATGTTACATCGAAAAAATCTCTATGACATTTCTATGCCGTCTTTTTTCTTAAGTTCAGCGCCTGTGGAACTTTATTCTGTTCGCTGAATATCTCTACCGACTTCACTTTTAATTAAACAATCGAATTAATACTTCTCTTCTGTACTGTGCATGGTTCCTAAAAAGAAAACTACCCGAGATACTAATCTTTGAGAAACGTGTTAGAAAACATTTCTTTTCTGAAAAAGTCTGAATCTTACTAAAATGCTCTCCTGAAAACAAAACCCTTCAAAGCAAAGCTACCGACTCCGACCAGGGGCGGACTTGTTACCGAAAGAGACCCAGAAATTCTGATATCATCACGTGACCTCCGAATAAAAGACTTAATCAATAAAATTCTAATAAAGATAAAACGAAGAAACTTTTTATTCCACAGCTAAAAGACTCTTCTAAGTAATATATAAATATGTATTCGATAACTTTTATTTTTCTGGCTGTTATATAGCCTATAACAGAGGAAAAGTGTAGCGCTCGATCAAAAAATGACACTTTCCAAGTTTTACATTTTTGGACTCGGGACAACTCGAAATTTCGAGACATGCAAAAGATTCGAGGTTTTTTTCTATATGTGTGGATGCTAGACTGTGTGTGGGGAGCATGCTTTTGTTCACACTGTTTGAAGCCTAATAATTTCTGTGGTCAGAGGGGTTGGAATCGGAGTCAGATAATTTAACACAGGAGCTAATTATTAAGCGTCAAAGTGGTTGAAGTATATCGTGTTTCCACATACATTCTAACGTCTTAGGCGAGAACATCTTAACGGGTTTTACTGTACTATTATAAAATGACAAAAATGTTTACTTTGAGGGTAAAGACAAATTTTATTTTATTTTTTAATTTTCAACGCTAATAACGAGTAAAGTATTCATTAAGAGATATGACACATGATTACTTTAATGTCTTCACCCTGTTGACCTTTAATTAAGAACAAAAATTTAATAGTTTTAATGATCCTTTATACGTAAGCTACAGTGCCACACTTCGTTTCTTAAACTTTACCTATTCTGAGATATTGTTT